GTCACATTTTATTGCCATGCACTTTCATCGTTCCGCGTATCTACTGTGTCGTAACAATCGCTTTAAACGTGATCGATCGAGATTTCACTGTAACGTTATTTAAATTATACAAGAAGCGACAATAACTTACATAACTATTTTTCCCTCAAAGCGTGCAGAAGTAACGTTTAACTGCTCCTAGAAACGTGGAAATAAAAGAAATGGCCGCTTGTACTTTTTCATTATACATATGCATATTTATCTTAGCCTTGCATTTAGTATGATGCAAGCTATTAAACAGATTTCCTTTCTTCTTCGTGATATAATCAGTTTCTATTCTAAACGTTAAATTTATATTTCACTGTTATTTCCATCCAAAATTATTAACCTGTTTCCTATTGTATTAGTATTAAAATAATTGTTTTTCCTTTTTTGCTTTCCTCACTTTCAATTTTTCTCGATCTAAATTACTATAATATAATACATGAAACTGCTTTATTCTCGCTGCCATATTCCTTTTCTACATTTATCATGGTTAAAATAATTTTCCATTCTCTTCGTTATTTCTCAAATCTACAATTTTCCTATATATTTTTATTTCTTTATTCCATTCATTTTAAATTTCCACTCATCGTTGTATTACATAGTTCTCCTTTCGTTTAAAATCCTATTCGAAGCTCATATCTATCCAGACTATCGAAACTATTCCGTACTTCAAATCCCCAATTTTGCTGCCTCATTCGTTTCAAATCTTTTCTCTTTACTCGAAATTAATTTTGAAACTGGTACCTATATATTGAAAACAATCCAAACTAACTATCATTCCAAAAATTTGTCTAAACCGCTTCTGTTCCTCGAAAATTTGACACCAATGTACTAACCCTTCCTCCATTCTCCTATTTGTTCCTCTACCTTTTTCTCTTTCTCTTAATCGATTCCTGGATCAGTATCTCTGAAAGATTCGGCAGAGTACGGCAGAGAGGTGTAGCAATCACGAGGCTGTACGGCACTTTCTATTTGGAACGTTGAACGCGATACAATTTCACTTGTTCCGCGGGTGTATCGGCCTACGTCGACGATGTTGACGAATCGAGGAACGTCTGGAAGAGCACGACCGGGGAACGAGAAAAAGAAGAAAGCACGGAAAGAAGAAACGAGAAAAAAAGGGAGGTGAGGAGGAAAGAAATTCTTTATGTAGGAAATATGCACGTGGTTCCGGGTTCACGGCTGTGGGACGACGTTGGTCACGCGATTCACGCGGTCGGATAATAATTAACCATAAGAGAACGAACCTTCCTCGAAGGGCTCGAGGAAGTCGCGAGAAGGGTCGTTAACGAACTTAAGCTCCTGATTACCCCTCTTACGCGCATTGTCCGAACCGAGGAGATAAGAAATAAGGAGAAGAAAGCGCGCTGATAATTACCATATTTCTCTGCGAGTAACGCGATGTGTGCGTACGTGTATGACGAATTTGTCGAATAGGGCCGATTTTTGCTTTTGGCTGAAAGGTACTTCATGCTTCGTGAACGTGTGATTGCGATGATTAAGTATCTTTGTGCATGATAGAAGAGAATATGATTCGTTATTATCTTGATATTATTCATTGTGTAATATAATATATATATAGCATTGCGTTATTGCAATACACTGATATAATTGTACGTATACTATATGTAATAATAATAATAATTATAATGTATATTATAATAAATTGCACGGAACTATGGTAATAATGTGTATAATATATTAGAAACATTTATATATTA